AAAAATGGCTTATCTGGCACATAATCACATACACCGTGCGTGCAGCGAGCACCATTTGAAAACATGAATTTTTAAGAAAGCATTATAGAACATATATATCATTGCGTGCAGTCTGATCTAAGTAAGAGGTCTGCAAAAAATACATGGTAATTTCGTTAAAATTATAAATAATCCGAGGACCCTTTTCTGATGGAGCAACTGAAGTCACCCTATGGCTTTCTCCGCCTTCTTTGATAATAAACGGAGCATATAAATGATTTCACCTGACACGCACACCACTTTGTTATTTACATTGTGAATAGAAAAAGGCAGTTTTATATGAGCCAAAAATTTCTTCAGACTACATCCTATCGAAAGATATAAAAATGTGTTTCATAGCCGACCTTGAATTCGTCAATCATTTAGTTCTAAATCTAAAATTTCATACAGTAAAATAAATATCGATTTTGGCTAGGGTTGCCAGACCTTCTCTATTTAATAGGAGTCTTCTCTATTTTAGAAAGATCTCCTATATCCTCTAAAATAATACAAATCTCCTATATTTCCAAGTAACAATAACATTTAACAATAATGAAATCTGTAATTGATGTGTATGAGATTTTTAAAATATTGATAAGCAAGCTTACAGAGCGTAGGGACAAAAAATTTTTTGGTTATATCGTTACTCAAAAATTAAAAAAGTTAGAGCCATATAAATCTCAAAAATTTGAAGAAAATTTCGTACATGTTATTAATCGTGCCTTTATTTACATCATGAAATGGTTTGATCTTAGTGATAATGGATGGTTTCATTGTTTATCAAAATTAAACTTGAAAAGCATTATCAATTTTGATGACATTGTTGCAATTACGCAAAAAATACCAGATACTATAAAATTAGATATGGACTCTCTGTTTGATGAGGTAGGGATTCTTAACAATATATTGGGTTTAAAAAATAAGGATGACACATTTACTGGGCTTCCAACTTCTGAAAAATGGTTGCATATTTTAGAAAATAGTAACGATCTTCCCAATCTCAGCGCTTTAATGTCTTTTATACTAAGTATTCCTGTCACTACGGCCTATGTTGAGAGAATTTTTAGCATTATGGGTAACAAATGGACGGATGTACGGAACAAATCATCGCTAGACTTAATAAAATCAGAGTTACTGATTACATTAAATTTTGAACTTGACTGTAAGGAATTTTATAATTATATAAAAAATGAAAAATCGGTACTGTTAAACGCCCAAAGAAGTCAAAAATATGAAACTAAAATGTAGATTATGATACGTAGATAAAAATATGATTATAATACATTGTAAATTAAAGAGTTCTGTAATAAAAAATGTCTCCTATATACTTTCTCAATCTCCTATATTTTTGTCTCACTTCTCCTCTATAAGTGATTTTCAGATCTGGCAACCCTAATTTTGGCCCATATTTTAGAAAGTTTTTCAAAGGCGTTTCATTCATCGTTTTGTTTTTATTCTTTTACTAACAAGTCATTCTAGATTACTAACACCCTGGAAAATCCGAATCTGTTTGTTTCCAAGTCGTATGGTAAGATAGCGGTAAAATTAAGAAATACAATGGTATTTTAACCATGAGGGTCCATGGTGTGCCGCTTTTGACACATCTAATCCAATCCAATTTAGAGAATTTATTCACATTTTGAAAAAATTACGGATATCCTTCCAGTGCGCATTCGTAAATTTTTCAGTGTTGGAACGCTCACCATGTTCCGACTGACTAACATATAGGTGATTCAGAATGCCCTCCCCCCGCCCCCTTTATATGGTGGGGTTCGAAATTCTCACCGATTTTTAGGGTTAAAGACAGTATGTAACCAAAGATTGCAGTGGTTATTTTGGCTTTAAGGTACTAGTAATATTTAAACTGCAAACCAGTAAGTAGTAGTAGCACAGTACAGGGCCGTCGCGTGGTATGTAGGTGCTTAAGACAAAACTTTAACCCCCCCGAAATGTTGTTCGTACCGGTTTTGGTTGAGGGATGATACCCTAGCTCTTCCACCGCCTACGGACTGGTACAAGTACGCCAAGTACGGGTCCTTAACATAAAATACGGCCCCATCCGGAAGAAAGGATGAAATTAACCATGGAAGATGGAAGCTGCATCATCATCTCGAGCGACAGCCTCATCGACTTCGAGTGAATGTTGTGTTAGTGAAAAGGAAAAAATCAAACTGCGTAATGGAAGAAAATTTGGTAAATGCTAGATACATAAGATATAATTAAGTAATAGGTACAGATTTGTCTTTTCTACTTTATGTATAAGTAAATGGACACAAACAAGGCAATTCAATATTTTAATGAGCTAAAGCAAATCAGAACGTATTTAATAAAAATAGGTCCAGAGAGACGTAAGGGTGAAAATTTAATCACAAAAGTAGAGGAAGCAAGCTTAATTTATAGTAAGGTTAAAGAATTAGCTGCAGAATTTCAAGTAAGAATAAAAAGTAAAGTTTAGTAGTGAGGAAATTTCATTTATACAAAATTTTATAAGTAATACGCATGTTATATACCGAAATTTTAAATTTTTTGCCTCCGGACGTAGAAACAAAATCTAATAAAACTATGGCCACTTTTGACTTAAAAACGGCAGTAAGTTTGTTGTCTGTTATGGACAATAAGAAGGAATGTACTACAAAACAATTTATACACGCAATCGAATTGTACGAGTCAATGCTTAATGTTTAGGGCAAACGTTATTTAATAAAGTTTGTTTTAAAAACGCGATTGTTGCCCAGCGCAAAGATACGGATGTCTACAAATTATGATAGTGTGCAAAATCATTAAAAAGCATTTTTTGACACGAAAATCGGACACTGCATTGCAAACAAAATTATTGCGCGTTAAACAAGGTGACAGGTCATTTGAAAAGTTTGGTGAAGAATTAGAAACACTTTTTGTTGATCTCACAATTTCGCAAACCAATGGTAATGACGCAGCATTTGAAAGTATTGCAATAAAACAGTTCACCAATGGTTTACGGAATCAAAATTTGAGTACCATCGTAGCATCTAGGGAGTATATAGCTCTTTAAAAGACGCAATAAGGGGAGCGCAAGATGAGAGTGTATCCCACAATAACCAAGCCTTTCAAATAGGTAATGTCTTATTCACAACGTCGAGCGAGGTAACCAACGTTATCCTTATAAATCCTTCAATAATGGGAGGAATACAAACAATTACAATACTTTTACGAATTCACAGTTTAGAAACAATCAAAATAACCATCAGTTCTATAAAAATAACTCTGAATACAATAATAAAAATGCCGAGAAAAATTACTCACGCGGAAGAGGTAATAATGTGGGTCGTGTAACCAGAGGTCGAGGTTTCAGTTATCATCAAGGACGAGCTGGAAAGAATTATTCCTATTTTGCAGAAGAAACAAATACGGAAAGTGCGACAACAGCACTTAATACAAATTCACAAAATACTCAAAGTACCAGTCAGTTTTTTCGAGACCAATAACGAAATAATATACTCATTTAATACACTGAATTGGAATGCACTTATTTGGCGAAAAACGTAAATTCTTAGTTGACACGGGTGCAATCCTATGTGCAATAAAAGTAAATTGCTTAAATTCAAACGTACTTAACTGTTAAAGGTATTGGAGGAAATTTGACCGCTGAAGGTTTTGTTAATTTAAGATTGAAAGTTAATAATGTATATTTTGAACAAAAATTCTATGTATTTAAACGCTTACCATGTTCAACTGACGGAATTTTGGGGTAAAATTTCTTGAAAAAATATTTGGCACAAATTAATTTTGAAAATAGTAATTTAAGTTTAGTAAATAATCATCAGGAGATTTCAATTTCGTTACATAGGGAAAATGACCAAAACGTCTGTATTATACCTCCTCGATGCGAAAGTATTCAATATTTAAAATTCGACAATGAGATTGTAGGAGATTTCGTAGTAAATTCACAAGAGTTATGTGAGGGTGTTTATTTAGCAGCAACAATAGTGAGACCAGAAAATGGTAAACTACCCATAAAAATTTTAAACACAAGAGAAACAAGTAAGGTTAAAAAATATTACACCGAAAATACAATCATTTATATGTTGCCTGTCAAATTCATCCAAGTGAAATCACTGCCAGTAGAGTTAAGAAATTATTCAGTCTTTTAAATTTAAACGGTTTAAATTTGGAAGAGCAAACGATCATTGAACAGATTTGTGCAAAATACAGTGATGTTTTTCATTCGCCGGAAGACAAACTTTCAGTAACCAATTTATATCAACAATCAATACATTTAAAAGACAATTCGACGCCAATATACGTAAAACCTTACCGTGTTCCATATTCGCAAAAAGCTGAGTTGAATAAACAAATTTGTAAAATGCTCGACAATGATATAATAGAAAAGGCTAAAAGTGAATTTTCATCGCCAGTTTTGCTAGTACCTAAAAAATTAGACAGCAATGGTGAAAGGAAGTGGAGACTTGTAATAGATTATCGCTTGCTTAACAAGCAAATTAAGGACGACAAATTTCCATTAGGGAACATTACCGAAATCATAGAATCACTTTCAGGTTCGTTATACTTTTCTACATTAGATTTGAGTCAAAGTTATTATCAAGTACCTAGAGTTAAAACCAGAACTTCCTCACATATATCAGAGAGTAGAGTAGGCCTTGTACTGCTTTTTCCACAAACGAAGGTCAGTACCAAATGAAAAATGAAAAGCTCATTTTCTAGATTAATGACTGTAGCAATGTCGGGGTTAAATAAATTATGAGCGATGTTTTGTATATTTAGACGATTTAATAATTTTTGGTAGAAATTTACAAGATCATAATAAAAATTTACTTAAAGTGTTAGATAGACTTAGGAATGTTAATTTAAAATTAAATCTTTCAAAATGCAATTTTCTAAGAAAAGAAATATAATTAGGTCACGTTATATCCGCAAATGGTATTTTACCCGATCCAGCAAAAATTAAAACACTACAGGAATATCCCATTCCAAAGAATTCAAACGAAGTAAAAAAAACAAATTATGTCGAAAGTATTCTCATTTTGAGTGGTCCAATGAGTTTTTCATTATTGTAAGCACATTAGCCGTCCTCTCAATAAAAGTGGAATATTGTACCCTACGACAGAAAAAGAATTATTAGCTGTTGTGTGGGCTATAAAGTATTTTAGACCTTATTTGTTTGGAAGAAAATTTAAAATTTTGACAGATCACAAACCCGTTAATTTACTTATTTACTCATACTAGTCCATATAGTCGTTTGGCAAAATTTAGATTACAACTTGAGAAATTTGATTTTCGGATTGAATAGGTACATAAAAGGAAGTAATCATGTAAGTGCGGACGCATTACCACGTATTATCATATTATTATCTCATACGTATAATTAGGGGTGGACTTAGAATCATAAATAACGATACAAAAAAATGCATATTAAACGATTTTCATTTACTTCCTACAAGTGGACATGCTGGAGTGCAGCGAATGAAAAATAATATACAAAAATATTACTTTTGGCCAGGTCTTAGTAAGGATGTGAGCGATTTTGTTAAAAAATGCACGAAAACACAGTAAACATACTAAAGTACCAATGACTATAATCAGTACCGCAAATTCAGCTTTTGCAAAGATTTATTTAAATATAGAACCTCTTGACAAAGACGAACATGATTTTGTTGACATTTTAACTTTGCAATGTGAATTGTCAAAATTCGCAGAAGCGTATCCATTAAAGTCTAAACATGCTGTAGCTAGGAGTTTCGTTGAAAACTTTATTCTTAGATACGGAATTCCCAAAGAAATTGCAATCGATCAAGGGTCAGAATTTATTTCAACTACAATGACGGAAATATGCAAGCTTTTTTGCAAACTAATAAAGTTAATTCAACTGCGTATCATCATGAAAGCATAGGCGCAATGGAAAATTCGCATAAAGTATTAAATGCTTACTTAAGGATTCAAACTCAAAATCAAAAAAACTGCTTGGAGTTCGTGGATACCTTATTATTGTTTTTCGTATAATAAGTGAAACGCGATATACTCCGTTCGTACTTGTATTCGGGAAAGTGTGCGCTATACCAAATAACTTGAGTGAGATTGAACCTTTGTATAACTATGAACTACCCTTTAGAATTTAAGTATAGACTGCAGAAAGCGTAAGCTGACGCACGTGAAAATTTAATTTTAAGTAAGACACTACGTAAACAAACGTATCATTTAAAGATTAAGCCAATTAGTTATGAACCAGGGGACAAATTATTAGTTAAAAGTGAAGTAGGGAATAAGTTATCTGTCATTTACGATGGCCCGTATGTGGTGGTAAGTGAAAAGGAGCCGAATGTTAAAATTATAAAAAAACGGCAAGGAATTACTTGTTCATAAAAATAGAACAAAACCATTTTATTCTTAGATAAGTAGGTACAATGTAACATTATGTAGTAATTAGAATAGTGCAATTACTGTAACTGAATAAATTGTATTAGTATAGAATTTTAATGAAGTAGTAAAATAGAATTTCCATTGTGCACCATGAAAATACTATTTTCTTTAACGAAGAGCGTGTGGTGGTAACCCAAAATTAATATGCTTATTTTCTATGTCACACTTCCTGTCTGTACTGTGAACCTAAAGAGTTCAACGGAATAATATTGAATAGTTGCATACAGGAAGGATTATTGCTTATGATTAGTTAGTAGCTACAAGTCGGAAGACTAGAGTCGAACCTGTTGATATCATCAAAATGTAGCTTTATTATTATATTTAAATAAAGATAAATCATTACAGTACGAGTGTTCTTTAGATCATTTTGTAAAACTAATATGGTTGCTCAGAAAGACATGCAGCGAATAAATAAAAGAAATAAATATGTTAAACCACCCCTTACATGTTCCATTTCATTTAGGCGCGAATATGAATTTCCACTGTGAAAAATGTACACAAAAGCAAGCCGTGTAGTGAAAGGGTATCTAGAAGTATGATTAATTTGGGCGTGCATCCGTTTAATTAATAATTAATTAAAACGTTTGGCGTACAACTTGAGACTGCTCGAGTTGTAAAGAGTTTTATCTCCGCTTGGGTTGACAAGGTAACCCGTTTTACGTATACGCGGCACATAGAATGTGTTTCATTATTTTTGTTTATAATGGAATTGTGAGCACTCACCTACGCAGGGATTAACCCAGAGGAGCCTTTGCCAGCCTAAGCACTCATATAATTGGGTCATATCTGTTCCTTTGCAAGCGCAAGTTGTTCGCAAGTCTGTTCCCAGTATGCCCAACATTGCAGCCCTGCACTCCGATGGGGGTCCTGCACATTTTTTCGTGACACTGTCTACGGCGCAAGACTGCTCGTAGTACTCCAATCTAGATCTATATACAAAATTGTAACACTCGATTCGTTTTATTTTAGAGATAACAAACCTGCACTCTTTATCTTCGCGACATACTTCGGCCACTGAAAGGCAAGTAGGTTGAGGAGACCCTTCAATTCTTTGTGCACAAACGGGGTGTAATCTTTGCTGTGCCAGCATACATGTATCTTGTTTATTGTCAGTTTTCCTGTAAAATGTAATATTACATAAAAGAGTGTTTTAAAGTTACGGAAGCGCTTACTTGCACAAGCAGAATGCGATTTCTAAGTTCCAAGGGAACGAGGTTTTTCTATAAAACGCCTGCAAAGCTTCCATGCAAGAGTTTCGGTTACATCTAGAAAGATCGCAGTGATGTAATATTGGCGCCATGGCCATTCTACAGTTGTAATTGTTATTACAACTCTCCATAGCTAAGTGGCACGTACTTTGAAATATCGTCTTTGCAATTTCATTCATTTCCGAACGACCGTGATCAGTTGAACCTGAAAGCGGAATCTTCAGTCGTGTTTAAGTGAACTAGATTTGAATAGGCGTTAGTCTATTTAATTTTCGTTAGTTTATGCTGATTATTCATTCATGCCTTTCTTAAAAACTATTTAAATATTTATTTTTCGGCGACAGCGATTTGGACATTATTCACACAGCGCGATTATTTCATCCCTAACCTTTAGCTTCAATCAATCCTAATTAATTAGTAATCAGTAGCATGTTGAATATTTACAACCGACGAAACTGTCAAGTCGAAAATGGGAAACTGTTGAAGGGGATCAGTGCGTAAAAAAGGGTTTTGCACTGCGAATGGAGCATCTGATATGAAAGAATAAAAAACGTGCGATCCCCAAACGGAAGTCCATGCATATGGTTCTACGTGCCGGGATGAATACCAAGTGCATCAGTCATGTGCACATAACTTCTATTGGTATTTTAAATTTTATGCTAAGGCTATCATCGAATTAATATTTGCATGCACTTAGAGCGAATCGGCCACCCTATTCGACTTTAAATGACTGGCACCTTAACCGTTAATGTACGTTGTACGTAAACGGTTAATCCCTCTACAACCCTGCGCTTAAACATACGTCTATGAAATAAATTGAATTGGCTGCAGTACAGAGTCGTAAAGAGTTACGGTACTCGGATACATACTTGGGTATTTGCGATGACCGTTCTGGAAGGCGAGCTTGTTATCCATGTCCTCATCGTAAGAGATGTTCGAGAAATTGAACTGTTTGCCCTTGCTCTTTAGTACGCTCACGCTAATGTGATCGGTGTTAGAGTGTGCCTCCAGCCCGTTGACCGCGTCTACTAGCGGGTTTTCAACTACGGAATTGGCTATGCCGTAGTCAAATGAGGCAGCAGACGTATTGTCCTGGGCTGAAATCACCTTAACTGAAAAGAAGTCCAGTACTCCTAATCAGATAGGCTACACTAAAATACGGTAAAAAACCAAAACAGAACGAAAAAACTAAAACATTAAGAAATCCCTCTCACCCGGGCCGACGAGCTCTGGAATCTGTAAGGATGTGATGAGCGTCTCTTCTAAGGGTGCGTGAAAATCAGTGCCTGTGCTTGTGACAGTGCCTGTGCGCTGCGTGCGGTTTGTGTCGTGGACGTGTGAATTGCCGTGCGTTGGATGTGCCTTTGGGGGAAGTATGAAGGATGGAAAATTGACGGAAGGTTGTTTATTAAGGACACTGTCAGTTTGTATAGAGTTTGTTACGTCTGGGCCAGAAAATAGTAGAAAATAGTCTGAAATATAAATGAAACAGAAAGAATTTATTACGGGTTTTGGAAAGCGTAGAGACAACACGAGAAACAAATGCATGCTAATGTGCAAGTGTGGATGTTTAACATGGAAATAGGTTACCAAAGAGAGAGGACGAGGTAAGTATGTGAAAATTCGTGCAGCTTCCATGCGATTCTTTTAAAGACTAAATGCGGCTAGGTATAACTAAAGCAGTCATGCACGTAAGCTTCTTTGCAGAAAAAACACGCATAGAGTTGTGTGGATAGCTCCGTAATCTTAATACTGGTGAAATACATAATACATCAACACGTAAAAGGGTTTTGTATAAATATTGGGGATGACAATTGAATGACGATCCGACATTAAATGTCGATAGAATAATACATAAATGATACGATTTTATTCTATAGGGAACACAGCAAAATAGGATTGCGGTTTTTGGAAGACAACAAGTACATAAACTTACCTACACACGGATTGTGGTTTACCACGCTGAAAATACGATCGCATCTTCGTTTCATGTTGTTGTTGGGACAGATACAGCCAAACATCGGAGATCGACGTAAATTCGCCCATGAATCGTGACACAGATTTCTATAGGATATACGTCGAAAGATCGTTTACAACGCCTCCCATTTGCGATTTACTTGTTACTTACCTATCCTCCATTCGACATTTGTTATCTCGCACCTTGCAATTCAATTTGAAATCTTCGAACAGTTTGATACATTTTCTTTCTTGGCTGCACACCGATAAAGCGTGATTGCATGTTGGCAGCGCGTCTACTGGGTACGGATCCTTTTCTAAAATAGAAAAAAACTTGATAGAACGATTCATAGGTACATTCCACTTCTTAACAAATAATAAAGCTATCAAAAGAAGTTGAAATAAAGAAACGACTATTAAAAAGTTTAGCTTGGTTTGGAAACGGGCGTAGAGAGGAAAACAACGAAAACATACGTTTCGGCAAGACGGCCAATTGCCTATTTCAATCTGACTGCCCAATATTTATAGCCCCCACATTCTCTCGAAGGGAACCGCAAATTAAATGCAAGTTGTGGAGAAAAGGCAATTCTTAGCTCCTCATATTTTATTACAGTGATTATAACGTGAAATCGAAAATTCTTGGTGCTTTAATCTAAAGATTTATTTAACAATGTGGCACGCACGATGGAAGTATAATACCACCTTTTTTATAGGATCGTGAAACTTACAGTGCAAATTATGTCATTGGCCTTAATGTTATCCAAAAATCAAAATTGTCCGGGCATGCTTCACATTTCAAGTTCAAACGCAATTTTAAAGTAAATTCGCGTCAGTTGTCAGTTGTCTAAATAAAATTAAATTGTTCGGGAAAACTTCCCTCGGCCCTGATTCTTAATTAAACGGTGTTAGTTTCGTACGTTTTCATAAAATCGTGGTTTGTTTCGCCAGTTTTGTTACTAAAAAAATGTTTTATGTCGTGCAGGGTACGTTACACGTCCTCAGATTTGAAGTGTCCCAGGCAGAACACAATCCTGACTAAACCTCTCTGTTGGTATCCGAATTAGTTACCACAGTACTTTCAATGCCTCCCCCTTGATGGCTAAAATAGGTACCTGTGATCATCAGCCATTTTTAATTCAACAATTTGGAACATTTTCACATCGCGAATAACGAACTAAAATCGATGCGTTTGAGTGCACGATTCCACGAAATGCAGGGAAAATGCGAAATATGCACGGATCAGTTTGATATGCCAACAATTTTTCATTTAGTTTTCTAACGCCATTTTTGACAATACTAACGGAAACCAACTAAAAACTAATGGGTACAGGATACGCTGGCATAACCGGCGGTAATGTCTCTCAATTAAATTGTAACAACACTATTAATAACTTACCTTTTTTGAGGACGAATACGCAAGGATGGTCGAAGAGAAAATCTCGAAAGGAATTGCATTCTGGGTCCACGTGCGGTTCTCGGCACAGGCATGTTGGTTTGAAGAATGGAAATGCTTGCAGGGTCCGAAGTGCTGCCTGACACTTCGTCACCGTGACGGTGGAGCATGCAACTGAAAAAAAGTTAGAAACTGTTAAAATATTTACATCCGAATTTAAAAAGTTTCTCTACTTGTTATTTACGTTGGAGATATAAAGAAAACTGCATATTTTATGCCTAGAAGTTCAAAGAAATTTAACTTATTTAATACCTACTTTCTATTATTTTATTGGGACATTATACGGGTCTTCATTTATTTCAGTCGTATAAAATACTTTTATGTATTGAATATTTCATTAGGGGCGAGTTAGGAATGCAATACGGAATCTCTCGCAAAGTTTCTTTATAGCTAGTCCACGAACCCAAAAATCTTTTATCGTGCTATTTAATTCAGTGACATTAAACGTAAACGAAATGGTCATTCGAGAAGGTTGACATTAGCACCTATTTACGACCTGAGATATCGGCAGATATAATCATTGGATTCCTTATTCAATGATAATATCAAGCACGCTTCTCCACTTATATTATTTAATATATCATATAGTCATTGTTTAGTACGGAAGCCTTAAGAACCACCTAACAAATTTTTTTTTAAACCATACTATTCCCTTTAAGCAAATTTGCTATGTGTGACATTTTTTAAACAAAACTAATTGTAATAAAATTTATTTAAAAAAAATTACAAAAAGGATTTGACTCCCATTACCCCGTCATGCGGCTAATGAGAGTCATCAGTTATTTTAATAGTTGAAGTAAGGATAATTTCTAACCAAAAGGCCATACCAACTAATCTAAGGAAAATGGTAAAAAAATAAGAACAAAAATCGTAAAAAAACTCTTCATTCTGCTTTTCCAAACAAAGGTTACAAACATATCCTTTAGGGCTCTATGCACCCGAACATTCCGCAATCACAATCAATTTTTTCTGACAAAAACCAGTACTACTTACGGCGCTAGAACCATATATTGCACTATTCCACTCAATTTCGGTCAACGGTTTAAAATGAACTGATTTAAATAATCGCGATACCTATAAGCTATGATAACTCAAGGTCAACCGTAGAGTGCGTCAGCAGTTATGTTAAGGCGTTCCAATTCGTAATAATAAGGTGGCTCCCAAAAAAGGGATAGAATTAGAGCAGCATACTCCAAAAAGTCTTTTGTTGTACAAGTGTACATGTCAAGTAGTGATTATGAAGATAGTGAAATAGGGGAAATGTACGAGAAAGAAGAATGCAATTAAAAAAGTGGCTGAGAAGGAGATGGTCGAGGAGATGGTGCATAGGAGACGAAAAAGAGCAAAGAAGCCATGGATAACATTTGAACTGATTGAAAAGATGGAAGAAATGAAGAAGTATAACATGCAATATCCCTAAGGATTAGGATCTGCAATATGAACCAATTATGTAAAGATTCACTCTAATTCTCATATACAAAGTGAACTCGCCGATTCCTTAATTCCTTATTTTGGGACAGAGTCGAATCATTTCTTTAAGTTTCTTCAAAGGCGCTAATTATTATGGACGATATAAAACATATCAACGGGAAGGAACTCCTTCATTCTAAGAAAACAAAAGCACACTCACTTCTGAAGAACTCCATGGTTCATACGTATAAGACAAGAAGAAAGGATAATTTTCACATCGACAGGCCAACGCACGAGTTCTACAAAAAATCTCTATAAAGTTCAGAAATCAGCTAAGAGCTTCTAGTCAAACACAGCTTTTATTCAGTCCAGGAATTTGTTAAGGGGATGTCTTCAACTGTGATATTTAATTCTTATATGTAATATTTGTACCTTTTTTTTTAAATCTGAGTTCTAGTCGAAATTTTATTTATATATACATAATGTTTGTGATTTAAATGACGATGTCAATATTTTTTTTGAAATAATCGATAATAAAATATTTGAATTTGAATGACTCAATTCTGCTCGATTTAACCCACACAAAAGTATTCTGAAATCGAGGTGATAGGCACGGCAAATAAGTTACTCTGTATACAAAAATCTTTGAAAATGCTCTTATTAACTTTGGGACCACGTTTAGTAAGTAAATTCTGTATCTAACTTAGGATTTATTCAAATTTATTCATGCTCGAATTTTGATGGAAAGCCATATCAAACACCCTGTTTATTTTTTGATAGTATACCCTTAGATTTGACGCAAGCTTGATTTTTTCTGAATGGCAAGAAATAATAGTGGTGATTTTATTTAGACATTGCACACTGGTGCTACAAGGGCAGTCATACAAATAAGTCTTCCGATTTGGAATTTGTTCGTGGTTAACTATGATTTATCGCAATGAATTGCCCAATCGCCCATTAACCGCTATTAATCTTAACATAATCTGCAAGCGGATTTCTAATTTTTAATTACTCATTTATTGTTCTGAAGTAAAAGTCATGAAATTATGTTAGTACTGCGAGGTTCTGTTAACGTTATTGGCGCGAAGCCAAACGTTTGCTTTATCAGAGTCTCCTCTTAAGTTATTTAGATCACTAGTAGGTTTTATCCTAATTTTGATTTATATTGGTATACTTAGGCAGGTTCGAAATTATAGTTTTTTACCCAAAGCAACAAGAAATCAATTCCCACGTGTACTAAATGTTTTATCGTCCATCAGCGCTAAGAGAGCAAATACTCAGCAAACAATTTGCTATCTAATGAAGGAAGGTTCGACGTAATCATGTCAAAGAAACCTTGTTTCAGCAACATCACCTCGTGTTGGTTAGCCGTAATTCCGGCATTACATTTACACTTAGCATGAATTTTCCGCAGTTTACAATTTAAGTTGGCGAACTACTACATCAATTCTCTAAATCTCTTAAGTTTAATTAAACTTAATGTGTCCGTGGACAATGAGAAATTTAGCACTGTTTAACTTTACTAAAGGAGCGAGTATATGCGACGCTGCTGTTAAAATAAGACCCCTTATTTTTGACTATTTTAACAATAATCAAGTACAACAATTAAATAACATGAATTAGTGTAAATGAGCCACTATCTAAATTGGCTGTTAACAATTGGTTTTGCAAAATTCATTCGTAGTCCTGTTACCCATGAAATTCGAGACAAAAATGTTCGTATTTCCTAAGACATCGATGCTCGCGCGGATTATGTGACGTGTGGTGGGCGGTAACGCATAACACAGACATTATTCAGGTTTATATGAACATTTAGGGATGAAAAAACAATAAAACCGATCGTTCCTATATAGTATTTCTTGAAAAACTAAGGAAACAACTGTTTTCTAGCATCCTCTTTCTGCTTTTCTAAGGGATGACGATTTGATGTCTTTTTATAAAGATAGATAAAGAAAGCTCAGAACCTGGATTTTAATCTTTTCATGAATTTCTCCAAGAGTTCCATATATCCCGAGAAATTATTTTTAACCTTTGGTATCCCTGATCAACATCATCTCCCTGTTCTAAAAGGGTAATAATGGCGTCTGGATTGTTTTCAATGAATTCAGCTGCTGCAATTTTACGGTGTGCAAAAATTCGTCAACTTCTTCCGGTTCTGCGTCTGAAATAGAAGCTCGCATCAGAGATTGTATGTTCTTTTACTTTGGTCCAATGTACCGTGAAGACATATCCGGCCAGTTTGAATTTTTATGATTGAAGCTTAGGGTCGTCCATCCAAATCAATTTTTTGTTGATAGAAGATAAGGAATATGGACATTTGAACACAACCCCTGAATTACAAGCAAAAAAGGAAACTGTTTTATGGTGGCGTCTGCTTACCTATATGATGGTGTTTCTGGGATGTTTTAGAAACTTGGGTGAACAATAACTCCACAGAGTTACAGTTTGGACATGGTTCCCGGAAGTTTTCCGGCACGTTCTTCATTTCTCGTAAAAGAATTCGTTGTCCTTCTCAGGATCTCCAAGGAGTTCTAATGTTGCTACCTCAAAATCGCATGCCTCGTATTTTTCTAATGCGCTATGTAGTTGTAGGCGTAATTCATTCATGTTCCTCCGTTTGTTTAGCATCCCCTAGACTTTCGACTTATTCCAAATATTCTTCAAGTAATGATCGAGATATTTTGTCCCTTGAAAGCCGCATGGTTTCTTTTTGTTTCGGTCATTCATTCTTCAATTTTTAGGTACGATGTTTACTGTGAGTGTAGTTTCAATTTATTTGAAAAACTGCGCCATGGTGGATTATATAAATTTTTGACATATTTTGATCAAAATACATATGGTCAATAAAAAAACACATGCCCTCGTATATATTCTTTTCTTGTCACCAAACTTTTTTGTACATTTGATTTGGCAAAAGATCTGAACTGGTGACTGCAAAGATGATGGGGGTGGTATCTAGTAGAGTAGTAGCAACAAAGTATATAAAGGCATCAAATACTTTTCCACTACTTCGTTTTTGATTTATAATTAAAACTGTGCTCATTCATTCAGGGCCGTAGTCAGAGGCTCCGAGTGAGGGGGGTGTATGCAATAAAAATGCCGACTTCAATAAAAATTCAAAATAATACACCGTACAACATTAAACGACGGCATTTTAACGCTGCCCATGGTGACACTATTTTTTCCAAATGTATACTGTCTGATATATATCTTTTTCTGATTACTTTGAACCAATAAGGCAGTTAGCCAATTATCAGCCATATAGGAGCGCAAATGATTTTTAATTAAACTATGTAATAAATACCAAAGTAACAATAATAATTATTATTTTGATTTGTCATTATACAGAGTGCTCTTTTTTCGCGGCTGTCATGGATATGGATTCTATTTTATTTCTATTTGCACGAAAACCGAGTCGAAGTGGGACGTTTAGAAGACTTTTACAGAGGAATTTGATAAATATGGCCAGAATAGCATAGACCTTTTTTTTTTGCTTTAGGGTCGCCAAATTTCATCTTATGATCTTTCATCAGAGTTATTTTTCTCTGACGTGCTATAGCTTTTAATTTACCTACTACTTTGATTTTACCAAAATACTTTATTATTCAATTTTCACGACAGTGCTTTAGAAATTGCAGTCAAACTCATTTGCTGATTTGCTTTGGTAGTTTACATTTATAATCAAAAATGTCGTTTTAAATGTA